GCCGGGCCGCGTGCCGAGGGCGGCGGCCGTGGAGTGACGGCGCCCGGCTCAGGGCTCCTCTCTCCCTGCAGCTCGGCCCTCCTCCCGTCGCCGTCGGGCCGCCGAGCGCCATGTCTCAGGTAAGGGCCTCCCCTCGCCGACGCCGCGGTGTCCCGGACTCGGGGACGGGGCTCTCTGTCCTGGAGCCCCGCCCCCGCCCCTGCCCCTCCGGCCGCGTCTCAGAGGGCCGGGCTGCCCCGCGGGCGCTCGCGGGCCGGGAGCGGGCGCGCGGTGGGTCGCCGCCTCTGCCCTCCCCGTGGTGGAGCGGGGAGCGTCTGCCCTTCATCCGCTGCTCGTCGTGTGTCGTGGAGCGTCTGCTGCGGCGCCTATGGCCCTGGCGCAGTGCTGCTCCTGGATCAGCAGCATCAGCGTCGCCTGAGCCCCCGCCGGTCCTTCTGAACCGGACACTGGGCGCGCGGCTCGGCAGTGCCTGCAGGTGACGCTCGTGCATGACCCGTCCGGGGGCTTGGGGATGCCGCAGTGAGCAGGACACCACCTCCGATCTCGTTTTTCAGGCATGACGTTACGTTTCTTTAGCAGAGAACGCTGGGTATTTTCGTTTTGGTTGTGGCTGAAAGCCTGGCCGGCAGCTGTGCTTCGCAGAGAGAAGGCGGCCAGCCGTTCCAAATTAGTCCCTTTGTGTTTAGTCACTTCCCTGTCTTGCTTTTTGTCACACTTGTCTTCAAATCCAGAGGCTCTCCGAGTTTTGCTGGAGAGTCTGTTCCTCCTCTGCTGCAGATCCCACTGTTGACTCTAGGAAACAGCTTTCGTTATTAGTCAGGAAGTTTTTATTAAAAACCTTAAACTGTAAAATATAACTCTGCCATACATCTGGGGCTGTTGCTAGTTTGGGATCTTTTAAAATTCATGTTCATGCCTAGTGGTTATGAGGTTCACTCAAGTGGCGCAAAACCAGGCTGCAAAGCAGGGGCTTATTGTTCCCCCAGCCCCGAGGGAAAAAGCTTTAGGTTCCATCCTGGGAAGTATTACGTTCCCTCTTTGAGAGATCCTTGTACTTGACTGCTTATCCCTCCTTGTTCTGTCATATTGCTAAAAATCCCTCTGAGTTTCACAGCTGTTCCTTTCGGCTTGGGGCCACTGTGATAAACTTGAGTGTGTGCCCCATTTCAAGGGTGCTGCTGTTATCTGGTATAGCCACTTGTTACCATGAAAAATTCTTGCCAAGTAGTATCCAGATAGGCTGGTATTAAGGAAAATATACATTGTCTATTAACACAAATGAATTGTCTTTGCTATTCATAAAGTGTTGTAAGATCTTAAGAATTTTTACAGCCAAAGCCAGAAATCCCTGTTCTTTACATGTATGATGCTTTATCTTCCACAAAATTGTAAATTATCTCAGGACAAATCCCATATATGGTTTCTCCTTTTCTTAATTATACAACAAAACAAAACAGCGAGGCTCTTAGTTATACTCTTAATAATTATTCAGAATTCTGAAAACTCCCATTGCTACTTATGGAGACTTGTCCACTCTCCATAGTGGGACTCACTGCACTCCTTGGTCAGAGCCTTTGGGAGCATGGTGCTGGTTGTGCCTATCTCTGTATGTCCTTTCAGGGGTCCGTGACGTTCAGGGATGTGGCCATAGACTTCTCCCAGGAGGAGTGGGAGTGGCTTCAGCCTGCTCAAAGAGATCTGTACAGATACGTAATGTTGGAGAACTATGGCCACCTGGTTTCGCTGGGTAAGTATTCCTCCTCGTCTCCACTCAGTCAGAATTTGACATTTAGGATGGTTGTTGTGAATCTTGATTATCTGGCTGAATATTCCCAAAGGAGGTATGTTTTTGTTTTTGTTTTTGTTTTTTTAGTTTTTAAGATGGAGATTATAACTTCACGTGATGTTTAGACATCTTTCATACTTACATCTGGTATTTCTTTTAATAGTCCCTCTTTTCTGAGGATTTAAGGACTGATTTTGAATTTATTTCATTTTCTGCAAGCAGGTCTTAACATTTCTAAGCCAGATGTGGTTTCCTTATTGGAACAAGGCAAAGACCCTTGGCTGGGGAAAGGAGATGTGAGAAGAGATCTGTTTTCAGGTGAGTGAGTTAGAAAATTGGTGGGGAAAATTTTTTAAATAACAACTCAACTAGTCAATGAGAAAGCAATACTTTTTTATATGTTGGTTGGAAAGTTTTCCCTTAAAGATACTAGAGAAGGGGCCAGCTCGGTGGCGAAGAGGTTAAGTTCTCGCGCACTGTTTCGGTGGCCCGGGGTTCGCAGGTTCGGATCCCAGGCGCGGACCTATGCACTGCTCATCAAGCCATGCTGTGGCAGCATCCCATATACAAAATAGAGGAAGATGGGTACAGATGTTAGCTCAGGGCTGATCTTCCTCACTGAAAAGAAAAGATACTAGAGATACAGAGACTACGAAGTCTTGTCCACAAGACTGCATAAGGGACTACTTCACACCCACTTATCAGTCTGCCTTCAAATCACATGTTACCCTTTCCCCACTTTCTCACAGATAGACGTGTCCTCTCTTTTCATTGGTAGTTCTGTCTGGGCTCTGAATTTCATTTTTTTTTTATTTCTCTTTTCTTTCTTGAACTTGACATATGTCTCTATTGCCTAAATTAAAAGATATATATTTTTTTATAGTGCTGTTCTGTTTAGCCATCTTGGAAAGATTAATCCATTACTCTTTGGTTAACTGATGGCTTTATTCATCCCTCATATATTCACTTAAGAATATTTACTGAAATTTTAACCTCATCAAGACTTTCTCTTAGGTGCTACAGAGAGTAGAAGGCATACAAAAATGTAATAACTGTCAAGTAAGCTATGGTCTAGAGAGATAAAATGGATCTGTAAGTGACTTTGTTAGAGTTGGCAGTTCAGCAATGAGAAAAAAGGGATTTCCAGTTGGTGTTTTAGGCCTGGATAATTTGGATAGGGATAGTAGTAATAGAAACACAAAAGATGGAACCAGGGTTGGTTTTGTAGAAAAGGTGATGAATTAGTTTGAGATATGCGTGGTGTGAGTAGAGGACGGTATTTCCCAGTGAAGCTGTGAAACAGACTGTTGGAACATGTCTCAGGAAGAAGTTCAGATTAAAGATGTAGACGTGGGAATCTTATGTTAAGAAGCAAAAATTGAAGCCATGAGATTGAGAAGGGCTCTGAAAGCCTTTTTCTCCTTAGGTTGACAACAGAATTGCTGGTGAAGCTCTTTAAAAATAAATATGGCCATCTCCCACCCTTGAAGATTCTGACATAGAAGATCTGTGGAGCCTAAGTTATATGTATTTATGAAAAGTTCCCTACGTTCTATAGTTGATTCTGAAGCACACTTCTGATGGAGGTATACTGACCTTTAGAGAGTGGTCCTGTTGAGATAACAGGAGGAACGCTTAGAGAGAAGCAGCGGCTTGGAAGGACTGATGAGGGAACAGGAGAAGGTGCCATGAAAACTGAGCTCTGGCTTTAAGGAGAGTGGTGGTAGTGAATCGCACATGCTACAGAGACCTTCAGGAGGACATAGAAGAGGATGTGGAAAGACAGTACTGATGTGGGCTCAAGTCATGAGGTAGGACAAGTGCAGGGAGACTCCTTCATTTGATGTTTGAGTTGAAGAAAAATGTCTTTTCTAAATGTTTTTCAAATAATAAAACTATGTACAGGGGAAGTAAGGTAAAGGGCCAACATGGACAATTTGTCTCTATTTCTACTACTTTAATACAGCTTTTGCAATTTTTGTGTGTTCCTTCCAGTACTGTTTTTGAAAGGGGAAATATCACAAATAATGCATAAAACATAAATGTGCAGCTTAAAAAATTATTAAAAGACACCCGTATAACCACCACTCAGGTCAGTAAACAGAACACTGCCAGGTCCCTACAAGCTTTCTGTGTGCTCATCCCAGTCATCCCTCTGCCTGACCCAAAGGTCATCTTCTCTTTACTTTAATGGTAGTAACCTCCTTGGTTTTCTTTAGAGCTTTGTCTACTGTTTTTGTATCTCTAATCGCTACAGTTTGGGTTTGTATGTTTGTGACCTTTATATAGAGGGGCTGATAATGTATATATTACATTGTGATTTGCTTCTCAAGATTATTTTAAGATTTATGCATTTTGGATATTGCTTAAGTAGTTTGTTTCATTGTACAAGTACACCCCAATTGATCCATTCTGCTATTGAGGGCTTCTTGGGTGGTTTGCACTTTAGAGCTGTTGCAATGTTGGTGTTGTCCCTGTATCCTGGTACATATTGGCACAGGTTTCTAGGCCTGGAATTGCTGGGTCCGAGGATAATGCACCTCTTCCACATCATTCCATCATCTTCGGTGTCAAATAATACCAGAATGTTTTCCAAAGTGCTTTTACTGACTGACACTCCCGCAAACACAGTGAATGGGTTGCTCTTGCTCCCCAAACTTACCAACGCCAGTGCTGTTAGGCATCATATATTCACCTGTCAGAAGAGTGTGCAGTGGTAGCTTATTGTGGTTTAAACTTGCTTTCTCTGATTACTGATGAAATTGAGCACTTTTCACATGTTTATTGGCCATTTAGATACCCTCATCTGTGAAGCGCCTCTTGAAGGTTTTACTCATTTATCTATTGGATTCTCTGTCTTCTCTTATTTGTAGGAATTACACATTTTGGATACAAATCCTTTGTTAATTATATTCACTGCAGATATTTTCTCTCATATGTGGCTTACTTTCCCCCCTAATAACGTCTTTTGATGAACTGAAATTCTTAATTTAAGTGTAGTCAGATTTATCAATCTTTCCCTTTATGGTTAGTATTTTTTTGACCTGTTTAAGAAATCTTTCCCTACCATGAGGTCACAATGAAGACATTTTCCTAGATTTTCTTTTTAAAAAGCCTGGTCATCTTGCCATTCACACTTAGACCCATGGTCCAAGTTGAATTTATTTTTGTGTGTCATGTGAGCTAGTGGTCAATTTTGATCTCTTCTGTGTGGAGATCCAGTTACCATGGTGCCATTTATTGACATGTCTGTCCTTTCCCTCACTGTTTTAAGTTTGTTGTAAGTTAAATGTCAGTTGTTGTGTATGTTTCTAGGTTCTTTATTCTTTTTTTTTTTTTTTTTAAAGCTTCAGTGCATGGTTGTGTATCCTAGTTGTTGGTTTAGTTCTCTAGGTGAGCCGCCACCACCGTATGACAACTGACAGACAGGTGCTGTGGATCCATGACCAGGAAATGAACCTGGGCCACAGCGGTGAGAGCGCCGAATCTTAACCACTAGACCGCCAGGGCTGGCGCTCTCTCTTCTTTTTTGTCTTTTTTTCCATCTTTGCATAAATCTGTACAGTCTTAGCTATGGATTTAATAATGGATAATATTTTACTGTATTTGCCTTACCCCACCTCTTTTTTTGCTGAATAATTTAAAGTACATTACAGATATCTTGACATTTCACTGCAGAGTACTTCACTATCATCTATAGGGACATTTTCAACAGAATTGAAATATCCTTTTCACACCAAAGTAAGTTTTGCCTAATATTTTTTTAATGCACTGTCCATATACAAATGCTTCATAATATAGCTGGATTGTCTTTGCGGGATGATGAAATTTTCCTGTTTCTCTGTATGTCCTATATAACTTTGGATTGTAACCTGTTCATTTTGATATTTTAGGACTTTGGGTCTTGTCTAAATCCTATTGAGAGGTTAACTTTATTTAAGCAGGCTGTTGATATGGATAAGTTGAGCCACAAGTTCTAACCTGTCTTCTATGTATGTGGTTCTTTTTTTTTTTTTTTTTTTATAATTTTATTTATTTACTTTTTTCCCCCAAAGTCCCAGTGGATAGTTGTATGTCATAGCTGCACATCCTTCTAGTTGCTGTATGTGGGATGCGGCCTCAGCATGGCCGGAGAAGTGGTGCGTTGGTGCACGCCCAGGATCCGAACCCGGTAGCAGCGGAGCGCGAGCACTTAACCGCTAAGCCACAGGGCCGGCCCCTATGTATGTGGTTCTGATAACAGTCCAGTTTTCAGAGCCTTTTTAGGTCTATTGTATTTGTCCCACATATGCACCTCCTAGTGGCCTTTCTGGAACTTGGGCAGTGGGTTCCCCTTTGATTCAGTTCTCACAGCTTTTATTTTGTTATTTAGGGTCAGATCCATGCATGCTCAACTCAGGGATGAACTCAGGATTTCATACACAACTTTATGGGATCACCGTCTTGAGCTCCTTGTTTCACCATCTCCCCTACACTTTTTGGCTCCCAGCGTCCGTTTTTTCAAGTCTTCTGGATAGAAAGCCAGACCTCTAGTTTCTCCTCTGCTATGCGCTTCCTGCAAATGTGTCTCCCTCTGCAGCCAAGCAACTAGAGGATAGAAAGAGAAAAAAGGGTATTACCTCTGTGCTCTTGGGACCATAGATTTTTCTGCTGAGAGAAAAAGGTTACCCTGCCTTAGAGTTTTAATTGCCTATACGGCCACCACTGCTGCAGGATGCCTTGGTGTTGGGCATGAGAGAATGGGAAATGAATAAACAAAAAATAAGATTTCTCTGACCAGTATAGACCCCCTTCCCCATTCCTCACACCAGAAATAGAGGCTTCTCTTGGAGCTCTTTCTCCTCATGCCTGCTGCACAGTTCTTGCTTTTAGGCTGCCTTTGGCCTTAAACCTGGAGAGACGGGAGGGGGGAAAAAAACCCAAGAAACTCGCCACCAGTTCAGCGTTAGTTCGAGTTCTTGTTGCCTTCTCCAATCAGCTTGCTACCATTTCCTTTTTAGAGTCCTCAGGTAGCTGCTCTGTGCATTCTGTCCGCGGTTTTTACTTGCATTCAGTGGGACAGACAGGTTGGAGTGTACTTACTCCATCTTGATAGGACTGGAACTACTCATTTTATAAGTGAAAAAAAAGCACGAAGTTACAGCATGTAGAAGGATCATACTGATAAAATGAAAATACAAGGTTCAGTATAGATTGAGCAAAAGTATAAAGTGTAAGGAAGAAAATAGTGGGAAGTCAGGATGGTTCGGGAAAGCACTGGTCAGATCATGCAAGTGCTTTACAAGTCACATTAACGAATTTAGAGTTCATCCCTAGGC